GGACATTCAAGTCAACACACAAATCAACACTTTTTTCGAGATTCTGTGTCACATTTGGGCCCAGGCCCCCACCACAATCTGGGCTCGACTCCACCACCGTAGCACGATATTGTCCATTTTGGGCCCCGAGCACACTCTAACAGTTTTGCTTCTGGGAACTCACACGAGAACTTCCTAGTGGGTCACCCATCATTGGAGTGCTCTCGCACGCTACTCACTTAACTTCGGAGTTCTTACGGAATCCGAAGCAAGTGAGCTCCCAAAAGGCCTCATGGTAGGTAGGGATAGGAATATACATATAAGGCTTATAAGATCCACTTCCCTGTTCGATGTGGGATGTTACAATCCACCCCTCTTAGGGGCCCAACATCCTCGTCGGCACACCACGGCTAAGGTTAGGCTCTGATACCAAATTGTCACATCCCGGCCCGAGCCCCCACCACAACCCGAGCTCGACTCCACTGCCGTTACACAATATTGTTCGCTTTGGGCCTTGACCACGCCCTCACGGTTTTGTTTCTGGAACTCACACGAGCACTTCCCAGTGGGTCACCTATCATGGGAGTGCTCTTACGCGCTACTCGCTTAACTTCGGAGTTCCTATGGAACCCGAAGCCAGTGACCTCCCAAAAGGCCTCGTGTTAGGTAGGGATGAGAATATACATATAAAGCTTACAGGATCCACTCTCCTGGGTGATGTGGGATGTTACAATCCACCCTTCTTAGGGACCCAACGTCCTCATCGGCACACCACGGCCAGGGTTAGGCTCTGATACCAAATTGTCACATCCTAGCCCGGGCCCCCACCACAACCCGGGCTCGACTCCAACGCCGCAGCACGATATTGTCCGCTTTGGGCCCCGACCACACCCTCAGTGTTTTGTTTCTGGAAACTCACACGAGAACTTTCCAGTGGGTCACCCATCATGAGAGTGCTCTTGCGCACTACTCACTTAACTTCGGAGTTCCTACGGAACCCGAAGCCAGTGAGCTCCCAAAAGGCCTCGTGCTAGGTAGGGATGAGAATATACATATAAGGCTTACAGGATCCACTCCCCTGGGCGATGTGGGATGTTACATTCTGACACTCTGAAAAAACACTAAGTGCTAACCCCTCCTTGTTGGCATATAGTCAGTTTGATTAAATATTATTATGTCAACAACTGTTGACATCTTCAGTTTGGTTAGTCCCTGTTAGCATATACTCAGTTTGATTAAACATCACTACATCAACAACCGACGACACCTTTAATTTGGTCAAAGTACGGTGTCAACAACCAACGATGCCTTCAATTTTGGTTAAACGGCACTCTATTATCGAAGTTAATTAACTATCTAAGTCAGTTTGGTTAAACAACATTCTTCTATCTTTGTTGGTTACCTATTCAAGTCTCAACCGGCAAAGAGTTTCTTATTCTCTTGCCAAAAGAGGTCACTTCATCAACTTTCTAACAAAGTGATGTATTCTATGATCGATTACTTCGGGTACATTTCAGTGTTCGGCATTCATCCAGCTGACAACTTTTATCATAAAGACGCGCATTTTCTTTGAGTATCTTTGTCATACAACCTGATACTGATTTTGAGCCGCTGAAATCGTTGCACTTCGCAGCGAGATTAGCAATCTTGTCTTCAGGTTCTAATAACCCTAGGCCGAGGGTGTTCCTTCCTAGCATAGTCACTCAATCAAGAAGACAACAATGTGATTCGCCACCACTAGTACATTCATCTTACTCGCTCGATTCACCTCGGTGGTGAACTGGCATGCCCACATCAATCATTCACCTCGGTGGTGAACTAGCATGCCCACATCAATCACAAGAAAGACGTAGTTAGCTCTTAATTACTTAGCATGCGCCCCACGTAAGCTTGGTAGCTAAAACATTACTTTCACTTGTGCAATAGTCTACAAGTTAGATTGACGGGTAGTTGGAGTAGATTGTACATTGTACATCCCGAGTTGCAACGAAGGATGTGGGAAATATTCTACCCTAGTCAAATCAAGTTTGTAGTCATCTGCTCCTAACCATAAATTTAATTTCGTTATACCCTTTCGCGAAAGTAAGAAAGCTATTAGTGTTTGAAACGTTTGGTTTCCTCTCTCTCATTATGGCTGCAGGAAGAGTGCTACCCTTTGCAATTAGTTTATTCTTCGTGTTTCTAGTTGTTGGCTCTTACTTCGTAGTTTGCAGAGCTAAGGATGATCATCCCAATAATTGTGCACCGTCTTCCTGTGGAAACATCAACAACATAAGCTCCCCTTTCCGACTGGAACAGGACTCGAACAACTGCGGTGACCAAAGGTATAATCTGTCTTGCGAGAACAATAGAACGGTATTATACTTGTATTCAGGAAAATACTATGTCCAGGCAATCAATTATGATAACTACACAATCCTAGTTGTGGATGCCAATCTTCGTGAGGGTGACTGCTCTTCAATGCCTCATTATTCATTGGCCGTATATAACTTCGGTAGCCCATGTCCATATAACTTTTGTCGAAGGACAAGAAAAAGGATTGGGAAGTTCGATTTCATAGACTGCATAGAACTGTCGAAGCCTATAATATTCCTGAGCTGTGAAACCCAAGTGAATTCTCCTCTCTATGTGGATACTGCTCCTTGCACTGGTCCTACGAGTAGCTCTAGTGGGCATGTTTTTGTTAAGATTGGTCATTTAAACGTCTCAGATATGAGGGATTTGTGCCGAATAGATCTCACAGTTGCGACATCATGGCCTGGTGCAAAGGACATGAACGTCTCCTACATAGACATCCACAAAGAGCTAGTCTATGGGTTTGAACTTTCATGGTTGCTGAGCAAAAGCACTACATCGACTACAACAAAGTATATTGTAGATTTGGCAGTACGTACCTGCTCATGTTGGGAGAAACAGTCTCCCTCTCCGGTTTGCTAAAGTTTTTTTTTTCTTTTCATGTCGATATTCTTCACATGATCGATACTTTTGTTTTCTTGGATGATGCAGGCATCCGGAAGCTGATCATTTACGGCTACCTAATACATGAGAAATTTTATAATTTTCACCTTTTTACTATCAGTGAACCCTTCCAAATTATCTCTCTACTTATTTAAATTTGTTTCTTTCAGCTATCTTAAGATTTTGCGCAGCCTCCGTTTGTAAGTATTTCTACTCTTTATTCTGAAATGCAGAAGGAATTTTTCCATTTGAGACGGTTGAATGCAACTTTGAAATATTTCCTCTTGATTCTCCTTTGATTTATTTTCATTACAGTAATGTTTGTCCTTCAATCAAGAACTCTACTCAGCATTCTATGTGTGATTGTGCTTTTGATCTACAAATGGAAAAGGCGGCATTTATCAATATATGGCCTAATTGAAGAATTCTTACAAAGTCACAACAACCTCATGCCAATAAGTTACTCCTGCTCCGACATCAAGAAAATGACCAGAGGATTCAAGGACAAATTGGGCGAAGGAGGTTACGGCTCTGTCTAAAAAGGAAAGCTTCGTAGCGGCCACTTTGTGGCAATTAAGATGCTGGGTAAGTCCAAAGCTACTGGACAAGCTTTTATCAATGAAGTCGGTACCATTGGAAGGATGCATCATGCAAATGTGGTGCAACTAATTGGCTATTGTGTCGAGGGGTCGAAGCATGCTCTTGTATACGAGTTCATGTCAAATGGATCTCTCGATAGACACATATTTTCCAAAGAATGACCCGTCTCCTTGAGTTTCAAAAGAGCTTTTGAAATTTCACTTGGTGTGGCTCGTGGCATCGATTATCTACATCAAGATGTGACATGCAGATTTTGTATTTTGATATCAAGCCTCACAACATTCTTCTCGACGACAATTATGTTCCCAAGATTTCTGATAGCAGCTTAACGTTGACCGCAGCAAGAGGAACTATCGGATACATAGCTCCTGAGTTATTCTACAAAAATATTGGAGGTGTGTCTAACAAAGCGGACATCTATAGTTTCGGAATGCTACTGATGGAAATTGCAGGCAGAAGAAAGAACTTGAAGCAGAGTTGCAGCACATGAAAGCCAAATTTACATTCCTTCATGGGTTTATGACCAATTCAGCGAAGGAAACGACATAGAAATTGAAGGTGCCACTGAAGAAGAAAATGAGAAAACAAAGAAGATGCTTATTGTTGCTCTATGGTGCATCCAATTCAAGCCTAGTGACCGTCCTGCTTCGATGAACAAAGTAGTAGAGATGCTCGAAGGAGAAATTGAGTGTCTTGAAATGCCTCCAAAGCCTTTCCTATACCCACAAGAGAAACCAGTGGTGGATGATGAAGATGATTCAGAAACAACACGGTCATCAGGACCATCAAAAGATGACGTCCAAGAGTCACAAAGTTTAATTCAGAATGCTGATGGGATAATGTAGCACCAGTTAGTCTGCGTGATGTTTGGCATGGTCAAGTTGGCTGGATGTTTATGCTCCCCCTTATACATCCAAGTTTGAATCTCACAGCGTAGTTTACAGTAAATTCATTCGCTCGAATAAAAAGAAGTGGTGTTTAGCAGTAATCAGGATTATATCCTATAGCTGAGTAATAATTTTTCAATATTTACTTCTGTACATGTTTTATGCTCCCCCTTATACATCCAAGTTTGAATCTCACAGCGTAGTTTACAGTAAATTCATTCGCTCGAATAAAAAGAAGTGGTGTGTAGCAGTTATCAGGATTATATCCTATAGCTGAGTAATAATTTTTCAATAATTACTTCTGTACTTGTTTTGTCAACACATTATGCTTCTCCCTGTTCTTAATTAGGGCCATCTTTTTCTTGTGCTATTTTGTTATTTCCAATAGGCGATATGCTTTGCCATTCCTCATTAGGCACTTCATGTGGATTATGGTTAAGGAAGAATCAAATAGGCTGGCTTACCATCGCTGCCGATTCTTTACCATCGTTGCGATGGTACAAACCATTAGCAACGCATACGCATCCCGTTTCATTGCGGAACTTCTTTAGGAGCGAAAAGAGTAAGAGAGCAAGGGAAGCAAAATCCAGTTCCCGGGTCAGAAGATTAATTGAAAAGCCTAACAGAACGACAAGTAACCTACTAAATGTCCTAGAAATCTATGAGAAACATAGTAAATTAAAAGGCAAACCACTCATAGGGCAATCCACCGCTATTCAAGGGTGCCAGATTCATCATACACTGCTAAGAGTCATACTGCAGAGGCTATCCTCTCTGTCATCGTCACGGAAAAGCTACCTCTGGAAATGGATGTTAACAAATGCTACGATACTAACATTGGACAGGATAAGAAATTCCGACTCTCCGTTGGGACAAGTGCACTGGCCATTTCATCTCCAATTAGGTCACTATTCCAGCTTTTGTATTACTTTTATTTAATTTTCCTTCACGAGCTTTCCACTGATCTTGTTCCCGCTACCCTACTTTGGGACAATAAGCCATCATGTGGAATTCAGCCCTCTTCGTCGTAATCTTCTTCATCCTCGTCTAGCCTTCTGCTCAGATTTGCAAGTTGAAGAGGATCAATGGCCATTCTATTCACATCAGCAGGAGACCACCCAGGATATTCTTCATGTTTAGGCTCGGAAATAGGTCCAGCTGATGAGGCTTGGGCTGCCGTTGGGGCTGATTGGGATGCCGCTGGGGCTGATTGGGATGCTGGGGCTGCTTGGGATGCCGCTGGGGCTGCTTGGGATGCCGTTGCTGCAGCTTGGGCTGCCAGTTGCTGCAGCTTTTGTGTCCTCGCTATCATTTACATCAGTATTCAGATCAAAATTTCGAACTGCAGGATCAGTTTCATCAGGGACAGTGACATTTTCCTTCAATACATCCTTCGACTCGGAAACATCATCCACCACCATTCCAGGGTTTGGATTAGGTTTAATGGTCTGCTGAAGAGATGTGCAGGGTTCAGATTCAGTCTCATGGTGTGAAATCTCTCTTTCAGCTGTCCGACCACGTCCACGGCCTCGTCCCCGACCCCGGCCTCTTCCTCTGCCACTGCTGCTGCCATGGTTTATCTCAAGCTGCAGAGAGAAAGTAAAAAGTTAAACGAAGTTTTTGACATCAGAGAACTCTTTGCATATTGCATTCAGCCCAAGTACAAATAAAACCAACTCAGAACCTCTAAAACAAACTTGTAATATAAATTCAAAGAATATTTACATGCTCAACCTGGACATCCTAAAGAAACCAAAAGAGGCATCGCTCCGGTTAAAAGCCCTTGTGAAAAATTAGAATGAAAAACACAAAACATCACAAAGAGCTCAATAACACAGATTTGGTATATTGAGCATGGAAGTTGGTTTTACGTTTTTTTTTTTTTTTTTTTGGTAAAAGGAAGTTGGTTTAACATTAAGAACAAGAAGATAATGATTAATTGCAGGGTGCCATTAGAGTTACCATCTTGCTCCTCTTCAATTCTTCATCACTGTCATTGCATTCATCACCTGGTGGTTTTCTGCAAAAAAATACGTCAGCAAGTAGATTCAACTGACTCTCTCGTAGATTAATGATAATGCGAAATAACAAGAATAGACCATCTGATATACCTTCTTTTTGAAATGGTTCGGTCATCAGCAGCAGCATCAGAGTGACCATGACCATAGTCCGGAACTTTGCTGACGATGTCCCTCAGAAAATCAAACACATTATAGTTCTGTACACAATGCTTTCTGCAAACAAGGTAGAGAAATTAGATCTGGCTCGCATAACTGGGACCACATGGTATTTTCTATTCAACTCCCGGTGCAAAAAGTTCTTTACAAGATACATCAGTAAACAGATTTGAGAGAATATTGCAACTAGATAATAAAAATATTTGGTACTCAAACGGCACAAGCTTAAATTAATTATTTCAGGTACTAGAAAATATAAGCTTTTCTTCCCTTAGCTAATTAGATCATTCTTCAGTATGGGTGCCGCAATCAAGTTTGGTATACTAATTGCATATTACTATTGATGTGCATTTCTCTAATAATGTTGTACTTATCCTGAACAAAATAATTGTATCTAGGAATTACAGCTCACTCGATCAGCATAGAATTATAGCATGTTACTATCCAACCTAATATGTGTCAATGCTAATGGATAGGAATCTAATTTAGAGGTTAGAGGTTGAACTCAAAGTCGTTGGAAGGATACTGCAAGTGGATCCAATTCATTCTCTCATAATTTCATTTATATCCATGTCTTCTGAGCTTGTCATCCATCCAAAACGTATCAATTGCTAATTCCATTAATTAGGCTAGATCTGAAGAAATTTAAATGATCTTGAGATAGATGAGCTCTCTTCTTTTCTTATTTCATTAGAAAATACCATAAAAGATGGGTGAATTGACTATTCTAGAATTACAGAATATTCCTGCAAACTCTTGTTCTAACGGGGTTGACTGATGAACCATCCAAAATGATTTGGAAAGATAGAATACCATGCAAAGTACAAATAATTGCTTTGATACTTGTCTACAAATTAACACTTGTTCTGATATCCAAAGCAGGAAACATAAATTTTGTACATAACCTTGTTCTAATATTCCTCTATCATTCTGCTGCACTACAAAAGGTTAATCTGGGTAATTCTCAGTCTTTCGTGTTTCTCTGCTCATTGAGAACTTATGTGCTTAGAAGAAAGTTATGTAACCTATATTTAGGATCCTCTGCTCAGTGAGAACTTATGTGCTCAAAAGAAAGTTATGTAACCTATATTTAGAATACTCGAAGTTGGGGAGGAGGTCAGTTTCTAGTGGGATAGAGAGTGCGCTTCTAAAATTCATTGTGGTAATAAGGTGCTCAAGAGTTTAAATATAGGGCATCTCTCTCTAATTTAGCAAAATTGGGAAACTGCAGTTTCTGGATACTTTTGTCCTTTTGCACAGTGTATACGTTGTATTAAGCATGCCAATAGAATATTTTCCTGTACAGTTGGAGTAATCATTCCCTACTGTTGTACTTTCTTTACTATGAACTCATTCTGTTATTAATACCTTAAAAATAATTAAGTAAACAGATAAACGTTGTTCAATCTTTGACTTACAGATGCAGTGAGTTCATGGTTTTAGCTCCTCTTTGGAGGGTTATCTCATAGGTACGGTCACAAAGGTCTTGCAAAAATAGCTCCAACGCTTTTGCTGCATAACATGCAAGATGAGAAGTATAAGCAACCAAATAATGAATAAAATAACCTGGTGACTGGTAATTTATTAGTCCCGAAAGTTAGAAGTACTGACACACTAAAACAGGCACCGCTAATGCTATCTTCCCAACATCCTCATCAGCTTGCATAATCTTTTTAATCCGGGCCTGCCAAATTAAAATTGTGTATGAGAATAGGGGACATGCATTAATTCAGAGCTAAACTACAGTTAATAAACTAAACTTCATTTGTCATTCTTCAAATAGGAAGCACAAGGTAAATATCCTACTTAGTACTTGTTTAACAAAAAAACATAGTCATCAACATGCTTCATTAAAAGATGAGGGGTTCTCCCGAAATTAGTGCATTTCATACATGGACACTCTGAGGTAAATGACAAGTGCTATCAAAGATATCCTATATAACATACTCCCACACTTGGCACACAAACACAAAACACAAAAGAAACTGGGGGAAATTTAAATAATATTTGCTACATGAAAACCCGATAACCAGCAAGCAGAAGAATTGTTAGTGAAAGAAAAGTCACGGATTGACAAACAACAATGGCAAACAACAACGAGGCGTAGACCATGATTCTTGACACAATCTCTTTTTCTTAAGTGTATACAAAGGAGCTATACAAAAAGTATAAAAGAGGACTCTGTTCTTTCACATTTCAGTCTTCACCCACAACTTCCACATGCAAATACATGTGATTACAATTTTATGGAGAGGTCCACATAAGAGAACAATTAAATACTGAAACAACAGGCAGCAGCACTTCATAAAGTACCAAATTATATGTCGATCATCCAAATTTTCAATCATGAAATTACCAATGCATAACTAAATCTGCATTAAAAAAAAAACGTTTTTTCCATTCCTTCTTTCTTTTTTTCTTTAAGAAAGTTACAAACATAAGTTTCACGACTGTTGGTCGCCCAAACCAGCGCCTTACAGAGGTATTCATGAAACCATGCATAGTATATGGATCACAAAGTAGTTAAGGAAGTGTAAACTTCCGTTTTCTTTCAACCCACGATACAAAACTCTCTAGTTGTTTTACAATCTTCAAAATTAATCCAATCCCAAATCTAAACACTCATTGAAAAAGAATATTTAATAAAACAAGATCAGATTGAGCCCTAAGGGGCCTCAAAAGTCATCACCTAATCCTGACCAATCAGCAAAACCACATCACCACAAGACCAAAGAAGCATGTTATCCCCAGAAACAAAACCCCCATGATTTAAGTACCTATCCACAAACCCTAGATGAAATCATCGATACGAAACAAATCCCAAGACTAAATCAGATAGCCAAAAACAACAAACCCATAACCCAATTCTACCTAAAACCACAATCACAGCAAACAAAAGGACAATACGGCCTAGAAAAACCCGACCCAGATCGAATATCTCAAAAATCCCAAAAAAAAATTGAAACTTTTAACCAAACAATTCAAATCACCGAAACATAAATTCAATAATCTCGCTAATTAATCACACGATTAGCACAAGGAAACTCCAATAATCTAAAATTTCCCTCCTTTTCCTAATTTTCCTGTCAACCAAACAAATTAAAACTCGATCTGAGAATAACATAAACCCTAGAAGGAGCGGAAAGAGAAAGAGAAGAAAAGGGGACTTACGGCAGGGAAACGCGTATCGAGCTTCTTCCTCATGGCGTCAGATTTGAAACATTAATTAAGTCGAAAAGGCAACACAACAACAAGGAAACCGAAAGAGAATCGAATTTTCAGAGCCACAGAAGAATGATTGCTGCTGATTTCATCATTGTTGTATAAAATCCATCGCACCCCTCTCAGATCCGAAACGTTTCTTATTTTATTTTTCTTCGGGGAAAATAAAATAAGAAAAATAAAATTTAAGACCAAATTTTAATAACTAAAAAAAATAACAAACAAATAAAACAGGTTTTTTGTTCCAACGGAATATCCGTCCGTACGAGTTTCTATCAAATAGAAACGTAGAGAGATGATAAATGAAGATGGCCTTAAGAACGTGGAGAAATTTTTTTTGGAATTTTAACGAAAAACTTTTGGTGCTGTTCATTTTAACGAAAAATATATTTTTACGTTCAAAAGTTAATCTTGTTATTATTTACTTTACCCTTTATTTTGTCTTTATCGTTAAAACTCAGAAATTTCAAACCATTTTCATCAGTTTTTCTAAATTTTTAATTGTGACGTGAACACGAGTGGATTTAGCCTCACAATAGGTTAGCAATTATGTGGTTCAAACTCGCAGTTGACGAGAATCGAACATAAGATCTCTTACTAAGTGAAGAGGAATACCACTAAACCGTAGTACTAAGTGGCGGAAAATTTTATTTTTTAAGTTAGGCTAAATAACCAAAATGGTCCTTGAGATTTGCATAACACATCACTTTGGTCCTAAGATTGTCCACCATCCATCATTTTAGTCATTCTGTTAAAAACTCTGTTAAGTGTCCCGGTGGCTGGAAGTTTGGGCAATTTTCAAATCTTCGTAACTCAATCATTTCTTTACTAAATTCGACCCATAATATATCAAAATGAAGATAAGAAAGTGTAGAATATGAGTATACCTATTTAAAAGCCCAATGGTTGCTGGAGATAGTCAGAAAATAGCCTCAAAGTTGACTAGTCCGCAGGAAAATTGGAAAACCCTCCGGAAACTGGATAAACTTTAAACGTTCTTAACTTCTTGAAAACTCAACGAAATCGAGTGATTCAAAAACGAAAATAATACTTCTTGATGAGACAAAGAGAATGGTACCTCTTTTTTTTTTTTTTTTTTACTGCTAATTCACTGTAGTTTGGCCGAAAAACAGCTCGAAAGTGGCTAACTTAAAAAATAATTAACCACTTTCGAGCCGTTTTCCAGGCAAACCACAATGAATTAGCCATCTAGAAGGGTACCATTCTCTTTGTCTTGTCGAGAAGTATGATTTTCATTTTTAAATCACTCGATTTCGTTGAGTATTGAAGAAATTATGAACGTTTAAAGTTTACCCAGTTTCTAGCAAGTTTTCCAATTTTCCCCTGGACCAATCAACTTTGAGGCTATATTCCAGCCATCTTTGGCAACCATAGGGCTTTCAAATTGATATAATCTTATTCTACACTTTCCTATCTTCATTTTGATGTATTATGAGTTGAATTTGGTTAAGAAACGATTGAGTTACAAAGGTTTGAAAATTGTCCAAACTTCCAGCCAAGAGCTCTAGGACACTTAACGGAGTTTTTAATGGAATGACCAAAATGATGGATGGTGGACAATGTTAGGGACCATTTCTATTGATTTTCAATTTTAGGGACCAAAGTGATGTGATATGCAAATCTTAGGAATCATTTTGGCTATTTAGCCTTTAAGTTATTAATTTTTTTAACACACATATCTCACTATATGTGTGTACCACCTCGTGTTCCAATCGCATTGAAAAATCTTACTCACCACTATAAATTATGGTGCTTACCACAAATCTCGAAATTCAAACTCATTTAACGGTGATAAATAGGGTGGTGATTACCACCATTTGAGGAAGGTGAGCAACAATGAACTCCCATAACATTGTAGGGCCGCTCCACATGTCACGTTGTGAGCGGTCAGTTTATTCAAAGTGTAAGACTATGATTGTACTTGGCTATTCAATCTTGACCTTTTTATCTTCAATGGTTGGGATTGTGCCATGTATGGTTGTAGTTTATTGGAGTTGTCCTGCACTAATCGTTAGTAGATAACCAGTGGCAGTTAGTAGATAATCAGTGATTTGAATTATGTTTTGGTGATTTGAATTCTGAGGGTAACACCACCACAATGGTTAGTAGATAATCAATGGCAATTAGTAGATAATCAGTGGAGCAGCTACACAGAGCCCCAATATCCAAGGAGCCCCCCAACTTTTGATTGAATATATATATATATATATATATATATATATATATATTCAACATACTTAATTAAGTACAAATTTGAAAATATCCAAGTTATTTTCTGTTTTAAAGAATATTGTATCTTTTTATATACTTTATTTTTTATAAAAAAATTAAATTTCTTTGACATGTACCATTTAAAAAAAAAAAATTCTATACTTATTGTTTAATAGACGATATTGTGTTAAAATTTGACTTTCATACTAAGTTTCGTACTCACAAATATACCATGAAGAAAACATATGTTTTTAGAGACAAAAAAAAAAAAAAAAAAAAAAAAAAAGAAGAAAAAGAAAAAACCAAACAAACAGGTCTTGTATGTGAAAAAGACCCATTTTAATTTTTGCTTAAGGATCTTGAAATCTCAGGGTTGCCCTTGTAAATAACACCACCACAACCCTCTTTAATTCGTTAATTGCAAGAGACATAATTGTTTGGTCTTTCTTTTCAACCTGCTCGAGTATCCTGTACAATACTTCGAAATTGGACTGAACATGAAGAAATTAACGATACTTCTTTATCTTTTGAGTTATTATGTTGGATCGGTCATTTTTGTCGGATCGGTTGGTCAAGACTTTTAGTCTTTAACTCAACTTGATGAAAAAATGAGATCACTTAACCCCTCAACACAATCATTGGTGTCTTGTCTTTCACACTAATGACTCAAGACCGGTCACTCTTTGAAGGGAAGATATAGTAGGTACTGATCTTTCTAAATTGTCAATACCCAATTGGCAATCCTATGATCAAGAACATTTAGGCTAGTGTTTCGAAGAGAAATATCTCATGAATCTAACTTATTTAGGTCAAGTTCTCATGAGTCTAAGGTCTCATGTGAAATGTATGTAATCATGATTGACTTTAGGGCACCTTTTGAATAGCTCGAAAAGCAATTGATGTGGCAACACGTAACTGGTTATTTGTGGCAACCAAATGTCAAGCCATCAACGGTAAGGGCAAGTGAGGACATTTGTCAATCATGTTTGTGACCTAATAACAAATTAGAAATGTTCATTATTGATTAGGGTGAGTCCAATGACTACTGTAAGTTGTAAGGACCGGATTGCAAAGAAGTTCTAATCTTGAGATACGTACTCTACAGATTTTAAGTCCTTAACTATGTTCCTAGTCGTTGGATAATCGAATAGATGGCTGAACATCTGCTAAGGCCGGTTTATGTCATATTCAATAGTAAGTCTCAGACTAACCATGTAGTGACATGGAATAAACACAAAGGTGCTTATCTATGAGATCAAGTTCACTAAACATTGACATATAAGTGTACCAATGGAAGATTACCTACTTGTCAATCATATCACACTATTGAGTTGTGAATGCAACTAGTTCTTCGATCTGAGGCATCACTTGTTATCTCATGTTAATGAATATGATCTTTGGTCTCACCTCGAAGTTCTTAAACGATACCGAAGCCTTATAATGTGAAGTTTGGGATCATATGCATTAATATGGAGATACATGAATGCACAAGAAGGAATCTATCACCTTCTAGGTAATCATGAAGGTAGATATGTTGGGTAATGGACTACTTTAGTACAGGTGTGTGGAAGCGTGGCAGGTGTTGTAATTATAAATAATCATATTAATGTGCATGGTTAGTGAAACATTGGATTCCGTTAATCATATTAATTAATCTGTGTGATTGTGGTTAATCGACGTACTTATATTTATGAAAAATAAATTAAGAATCCATATTCAAGCAAAATAAATTGAGAACACATGTATGACTTGTATTAATTTAGAGTTCCAGCCTTTAGATTTTATATGCGGGTGAATTCAATGTTGTTGAGGCTCTCAAGTGTTGCTCTCAAGTGTTAGACCTCTACTAGTATCCACATGATTGAATCTTCAGTTGGTGAAGGTAGTCTGCTAGGAAGCTCTTCACCAAGTGATGAGGCAAGGATGTAAAGCGTGGTTCAACAGCTTGCAAACTAAGAACCCATAGTGAAGAGTGATTACGAGGCATGGATCAAATAGTCTCATTTAAATGAATCCCATAAATCAAAGATTTTATCACAAATTGACTTCAAATCCTAGCATCGCTGCTCCTTCTCTTCCTTTCTTGCGAATAACAAAAAGACCATCTCACCATCGACCTCTTCCTTTGGTTGGAGCAATTGGCAACCCCTTATTCTATGCAATTTTCTTTATCCTTTTTCTCGCTAGAATCTCAGGCTATTCTCTTCATGGGTCTTGTTTTTTGGGCATGCTTTGCCATTTTCCTGGTGTTCTTCATCAGTTTCTTAATGTTTATCACCATATTTTGTCTTTGGAAAACCTAACTTTTATCCTCCAATTGTCATGCTTTAACCCTCAGCACGCATTGTTGGAATCAAATTTGTGCACCACCATAGATGGTGAAGTGCAAGAACGGCCACTTACAAAAGAGAGTAAACAACCCTGAATTCCTAGGCACCAATGTGGTATCGGTGAAAGAATCTTTGATGGTCAAGTAAAGGTCTTAAAACTCAAGTAGTGGGCTAGAGAGTGAGAAAGCGAATATATGCAAGGTGCATAATATTAGAATACCTTTGACGAACCCTAAGACCATCTCCAACAATGACCTAAAACCTAAAATTTCCCTTTTTTTTCCCCAAAAATGTACTCCAACCCATGACCTAAAATTAACCTAAAACCTAAAACTCATTTAAGGGTCAAATACCAGCCCATATTTAAGCCACAAACCAAAATGGGCCCCACCAACTGAAATTGAAACTGGGGCTGTGAAGCCCAGTTTCCACTTTGGGACGCGCGCACGCGCTATGACTGTCTGCCAAACAACAACCCCACGTGGGGCTGTTCCCTCATGTTTCAAAGCAAAAAGTCAGCCTAACGGCTACTTTTGTATTATGTGATGTTAATGGTAACGGTATTTTTAGTATTTATGTATTTATTGAATCCAATGGCTTAGATCAAATATAATTAAATATAACGGTAAAAAAAAAGATCTAACGGTCCAAATTTAAATCCAACGGCTAGAATAATTTTAAAAAATTATTTAACTTAAAATTCAACCAAAAACTCTATAAATACCTATGTATTTGTTCAAACATCCACACAAAACTCACTTTTCTCCTACAATTCTTCCAATTTTTCTTTATACCATTTATTCTCACTTCTACAATTTTCAAGATGGCAAAAGAGCATGTTAGAGGTCGTAATTGGACCTTTGACGAAGATATTGCTTTATGTTTGGCATGGATTTCGATTAGCGAAGATGGTGCCATCGGCACCAATCAAAATAGAAAGGTTTTATGGGGTAAAATTGTTGATAAGTTCCATGAAAACTCCAACACCAGTCGAAGGGAAGTTGGTGGTGTTTATGATCGGTGGAAGATTATCAACAAAGCGTGCACTTTATGGAAAGGAAGCTTGGAGAGAGCCATGGTTGACATGCCTAGTGGAAGGGGCGCCTCAGAAATTGTGAGTTTATTTGTTGATATTTTAGTTGTCATGTACATAATAGTATTTTGCAACTAATTGTTTTTATGTATTTGTTGCATAGGGTGACAAAGCAATGACAATTTACAAGACAAGAACTACACCAAAAAATCAAGCTTTTAAGTTGCATCATACTTGGAACATCTTCAAGGATTGTCCGAGGTGGGGAACCGATGTGAACCAACAATGTGGAAGATTATTTCATAATGAAGCCCCACCCCCAAATGATGTCAATGAAGGTGTGAATTTTGCCGACAATGAAGGTGTTGAACAAATGACCCCAACTTCTTCTTTTGCAAGGCCCCCGGGTAGAGATAAGCAAAAGGAAGCAAATAGAAAAGGGAAGTCCCAAGATCCGACACATGCACAATTTGCTAGCGAAATGGCAATAATGAATGAAATCTAGTGCCGTCGGCAAGAAGAATCGGCCTAAATGCTTTTGGCCATGAAGGAAACAAGGGGATAGGGAGCAGAAAGGTACGAAACAAAATTTGATAATGGAGGACCTCGACAAATACACTCCAGAGAGGAAGAGATACTTACGTGGTAAGCAAAAGGAATTTTACAAAGGAATGCCACAACGGAGTATATTTTCAAGATGATGATTCATCTCAAGACTATCACCCAAGTCCATGACCAAGTCAAGATGGTGATATCATTATTAAGTTTATGTAGTCTATGAATTTTCGATTGTATTAAGTTTATGTAGTTATTAATTGTTTTTTTATTTTTTAAATTTATGTGGTTTATTAATTGTCTTTTTTATTTTTTTAAGTTTATGTGGTTTATTAAATGTCGTTGGTATTAAGTGTATGTGGTTTATCTGATTTTCAGTATTGATTTAGTGATTTTCAAAATTTAGATCAAATTGACAATGTCATACTTCATCTTACGAATTTATGTCAATGTTATACCTTCCGTTAGCTTGGCCGTTTATTTCTCAGTTAAATGCTGACGTGGCTTGATCCGGGACCCATTTTTATTAAAAAATTAATAAAAAAATTATTAAAAACAAAAAAAATCATTTAATATTATTTAAATATTAAAATAATAAAGATCCATTTTTTTTTTTCTTCTCTCTTCTTCTTCTTCCCTCTTCTTTCCTCTTCTTTCCTCTTCTTCTTCTTCTTCTTCTTCTGCAGACGAACTGGGCGAACTGGGCTTTTTTTTTTTTTTTTTTTTTTTTTTTTTTTTGTTCTTCTCTCTTCTTCTTCTTCTTCCCTCTTCTTCCCTCTTCTTCTTCTTCTTCTTCTTCTTCTGCAGGGGACGAAGTGGGTTTTTTTTTTTTTTTTTTTTTCTTTTTCTTCTCTCTTCTTCCCTCTTCTTCTTCCCTCTTCTGCAGGGGACGAACTCGATTTTTTTTTTTCTTTCTTTTTCTTCTCTCTTCTTCTTCTGCAGGGGGCGAATTGGATTTTTTCTTTTTTTTTTTTTCCTTCCCTCTTCTTCTTCTTCTTCTTCTTCTTCTTGCGAACTGGGTTGTTTTTTTTTTTTTTTTTTTTTTTTTTCTTCCCTCTTCTTCTTCTTCTTCTTCTTCTTCTTGCGAACTGGGTTGTTCCTCTTCTTCTTCTTCTTGCGAACTGGGTTTTTTTTTTTTTTTTTTTTTTTTTTTTTCTTCCCTCTTCTTCTTTCCCTCTTCTTCTTCTTCTTCTTCTTCTGCAGGGGGACGAACTGGGTATTTTTTTTTTTTTTTTTTCTTCTTCTTCTCTTTCTTCTGCTTCCCTCTTCTTCTGCGAGTTAGGTTGGGGGGGGTGGGGTTGGGTGGGAGGGGACGGGTTTGCTGCTTTCCTTCTCTCTTCTTCTTCCTCCCTCTTCTTCTTCTTCTGCAATGGACGAACTGGGTTTCCATTTTTTTTTTTTTTTTTTTTTTTTTTTGTGTTTCCTTCTTCTTCCTGCTCCTTTCTAGGTTGCAGGGGGTTGAGTTGTGGTGGGGGGAGGGGGGATGAACTGGGTTTGGTTTGGTTTGGGTTTTTTTTTTTTTTTTTTTTCTCTTCTTCTTCTTCTTCTTTCTCCTTCTTCTTTTCTGGGTTGCTGGGTTGCTGGGTTGCAGGAAGATGATGGGGAAGAGAGAGGGGGGAGATGAACGAAAGGAGAGGGAAAATGATATCTAATGTTTTTAATTTTTTTATGTACTTTTTATTATTATTTTAATATTTAAATAATATTAAATGATTTTTTTTGTTTTTAATAATTTTTTTATTAATTTTTTAATAAAAATGGGTCCCGGATCAAGCCACGTCAGCATTTAACTGAGAAATAAACGGCCAAACTAACGGAAGGTATAACATTGACACAAATTCGTAAGATGAGGTATAACATTGTCAATTTTAAAAGATGAGGTATGAAAGTGTCATTTGACCCATACTTGAGGTAGTTTTTTGTAATTAACCCTTAAATATTTTTAGGTTAAAATGTTCATAAAATTAATTTAGGATAGTCTACATAATTTTTTTTTTTTTTAAAAGTAATTAAAAAAATAGCCTTAATTCATTCTTTGATAATTTGGGGCTAAAATTTTAAGCCAGAAGGGTTGGAGTAGAAAAGCTGTTTCTGGGCTAAATATTTTTAGGTTTTAGGTCACCATTGGAGATGGTCTAAATGGGGTATTTATACTAGCCGGAGATAGTCCTTTGAGGATAGTGAATCTTTATAAAGCTAAGAGAATCCTACAGGAAATCTATTAATAGATACGATTTCTTTTTAGGATTGAGATTACTTGTGACCTAAACCAATTTCTAGATTGTAGGAATCTCCAAGATTATAGGAACTAATCCTGATCCCCAGTCAATCTAGGTTATCGTATCTTGTGAAGCAAGCATGATCGATCTCGACAAGGCTTATGGGCCTTGCCTCCATTCTAGTGCCCAACAAAGTGTGGTCACAATGTTGGTTTGTTTCACGGCCCAGCCAAAGCGAAGCCACTTAGTCTATGACCAGACTATGTAGACGCTCCCATTTTCATCCACCTTATTTTGATGCAGAAAAATTCAGTCCTACATAGTTTTTTTTTTATTTTAATTTTTTTTATTTGTTTGAATTTATTATATGTGGTACTGAATAATGAAAAAAAAAATGAATATTTTAAGTTCAATCCAGTCTTGTATCAAACAATGAGTTAGATTTAAGTCCAATCCAATCTCATCTAGCTTAGTGTTACACCAAATAATGGACTTGAATTCAAGCCTCACCAATCCATGAATGAACAAGAGCCGTTAGACTGTGTTAGGTTAAATAATCTAACGACTCTTGTTCATATGTAAACTTAAATGTGAACTTTTGAGGTCAATCGAGAAAACTTAAATCTAATCTTATCTGTAATACCCAATCCCATCAAGCCCACTAAACATTAGACCGTTCAAATAGTTTGAGATTTCCTAATACAGAAAATCCCATAATTTCATAAACTAACACTATGTTTAGATAAAGAAATTTAAGATTACCAAGAAATTTCAAAATGACGGAAATTGAATTGATGAGATTTTATTTTCTAGAATTTGTGAATTTTTTTGTTTGGTTAGCCTAAAAGAACAATAGAATTGAATACGAAATTTTGTTGTTTTTAAGCTCTCAATCATAGAAATTGGGAAATGACACTTGCGTACATGGAATTTAAACTTGGGAATTGGAGGTCCCAAATTCCAAGGTTTTTTTTTTTACGCGGAAATTCTAAATTTCTATGTTTATGAATCAAACAAGAGAATTCGTGCATGTTAATTTACAAATTCTGACTTTTATCCAAATTCCAAGTTTATTTCCCTCATCCAAACTAATGTAAGGGGCATTTTTTTTTTCAGTTTTCAGCCTTTGTTTCATTTTTTTAAAAACTGAAATCTTGTTTAGTAACTATTTTCATATTTTAGTTTATAAAAATTATGAAAATTGTAAATCAAAAATTGAAAATTACTTTCTTGAGTTTTCAAACTTTAACCTTAATTTTTCATTTTTTGTTTTTCATTTTTTTTTTTAACTTAAAACTGAAAGTAGATAACAAACAAAATTTATATTTCCAATTTTCAAAAGAGAGAAACTAAAAAATGAAAGTGAAATAATTATCAAACCATCCAAAACAATACGGGATGGATCATCTTCGAAAAAAAAAAAAAAAAAAAGGAGACGGATCCTAATGCCTATTCGATTTTGTCACGTGGCGAGAACGCAGTTGTTATGGGCAGGAAGAAACATTAGTCCTCTCACACACCTGATTACTAATCTCCACGCCGTTCACGTCCCAACCCTTCCTACACCCATCTCCTTCGCTCAGTCTATCGCTCCGCCTACCTCCACCGTCCTCCTCACCTAGTCCTTAGCCGCCCACGCCCTCATATCCCCATCACCTCCATAAACCTCCATCTCTGATCTCTCAGTCACCGCCGAATCCTCTCTCTCATCCTTCGGCAGATATATAATTCATAGATATAAGAGATGGATGCGAAAGCCAGGAACAAGGCGTTGTTTCGTGCGAGATTGAATGCCCAGAAGAAGGACAAGCGCATAGACTCTCCGCTCGTACGGTTAGTCAGTGCCCATGCCTTCTCTCATCAAATTTTGCTTTTTGTTTTCTTTCTCAGTGTTTATATGTATGTTGTCTTTGGGGTTTAAATTTTTATGAAGAATTGAAAACTAGAGGTTATGGAGTTTCAGTGTAATGTAATTATCATGACTAAATTGTATTCTGTAGAACCGGTTTCAGTGAATTTCGTTTTTCAATTGGATTCTGTAGAACCCTTTTTGTAAGCAATGTGTATTGTTGTTGGTTCTATGATCATAGTGTTCCTCAATGTTTAATTGATTGATGTGGTGAAAATCATGCTCTCGGAGTTTGATCGTGTCAAAAACTTTTAGTTTATCAAGCACAAGTACGAATTTCGTTTTGGCAGTCCGTTTCTTCTTTTTACGAAACTTATGATTTGAAATGAAACTTATGAGAGCTGGTTTTGGTTAGAAGTAGGAATTAGCTGAGAAAATGCTGAGTAGGGAACGATCTAATTTATATTTTCTGGAATGCATATGGGAACCAAAGAGATTTATCTTGACATTGTTTATTTCTACCTTCTCGTTATGTATACTATTGTTGCTGTACCTTTTATTTGAACTTTTTCGTATTACTGGTTCCGTTCTGGTGTTGGCATAAATAGATTGCTAAGCCAGAGTTCCTGACTGCTTCTTTATGTCCCTTTTTGTGATACATACAGGTACAATGAATCTGAGCAGCCTGTGTGCAAGGTTTGCGACATTGCTCTGAAATCTGAATCACAATGGGATGCACATCAAGCATCTCGTAAACATCGTGAGGTGATCATTGATAATATAGTACTTCCCTATTTGTAAAATTAAGAAACTGAGAGACCTAAACAAACATCTTGTGTCGTGGAAAATTCGAAGTTGATATGAAAGATGCAAACTTTTCAAATATTATGAAAGGGTTAATGCAGCATTTTACCTGCTTTTTGAAAGATAACAAATTAACTCATTTGATCTCAATCAAATTATGTATTGTGATGTTGAAAACTTAAAATACTGCTGAATTCAACCAGGCAATAACTGATATTGTTCGGTTGGTACATCTTCGTGTATACTAATTTGGGTTGGATATCCCATACGTCAACATACATTTAATCCATATTTGGCGGAAAGATGAAGCATTTCCTTTACACTTTCTAGGTTTGAAACTGTGATGGGCCTGGGAAGTAGGTGACGTTACTGTTCCACTTACATTAATCTTAGATGCAGTTCCTTATTCTTTTTCTTTAATATATCTAACTGAATGAGTATTACTAACAGAATGTTTATATTGCAATAGGCACTAAGTAATTTCAAAGCTACAGCTGCTGGACTAAACCGAGTCAACAATGCAAAAGCTGAAGCCCATCCAGATTTGTCAAAACCTAAGCCAGAACATTCTGTGGAGTTGCTTAAACCAGGACCTGAAGGCTCTACAGAATTGCCTAGAGAGCAGTCGTCATCTGGGCTTCCTCCAGATTTTTTTGATAACCATGATGCAAAAAAGCAAAATACAGGTGAGAATATCCAATCTATTTGTTTTTCTATATGACTGTTACCACCTTCTCATTGCTTTGTGGCGGTAACGACAAGATCAGTTTGACACAGAGAATTACATTTTTTATAAATATTTTTATAAGAACTTGTACAGAGGCTATAGACTTATATGTAAGGGAGCGAATATATGCACTAGCCTTTCTGCATGGGTGTAGCTTTGCTGTTTTATTTATTTGTACAAAGAAAAGGTAGTTTTACCAAGGAGATCTATGCAGAATTTAGTGGGAAGGTTTTAGTCAAATTCCTCGGTAGGTATAAAAATTATTAGTAGATTATGTAACTCCTTTGGATGGGGAAGGCTAAGAAAGCGGGGCAACGGTGAGTGCATTCAATTCTTTCTTTCCAGAATACTAAAATAGATATAGCACTGAATATAGGTTTATGTGCTTCTCTACTAGATCCTTGCCCATTAAGCCTCTTGCTTCATTTGTAATGCAGTCGAAAGAAACAAGGAATATAAATCCATCATCAATAAATTTTCCTAAAATCACTGCATCAGTTCTGCAAAAGTAAATCTTTCCACCACAATCTATTTAACCTCAGGATCTATAAGACTGTGATGCTAAAAATTTGACCAAAGGCGAGGCATGCCACTCATTAAGCCTCTTTGATCGCTTGTAATCTAGCTGAAGGAAGCTAGGAGCTTAAATACAAATTGACACTTTGAAAAAAAAAATAAGCACACAACCTTTCTTTAACAGTCCTCACCATTAATTCATTTTGGGCTTTTTCTTAATGTCATTAGACTACAATAAACTGTTTATTTTTCTTTTATGATCACACAGTTTTGGGTTCTATGAGTTAATCATTAAGTTTTGGTCATAAGCACAATATCAAAACAGAAAATCTGTGTAGAGGATTTGATATTTGTGTTATTTTGGAATTAGTTTTGAACTATCAATCGTTTTCTTTTTATGATATCTATTATTCTTTCTGACTTAGCACTATCATCTTAGGAAGGGAAAAGGTGCAGACAAGAAATATTGAACCTGCCAGGGACCTTACACAGACATCATCACAGGTTGTCAGTTCAGAGGCCAAGCAAATAAAGGGAGCTCTTCCTGAAGGCTTCTTTGACAACAAGGAAGCTGATTTATCTGCACGAGGAATAAAGCCTGTTAAGCTAGATGTCAAGTAAGTGCACATTTTTCCTTAACTCCTAGATTGTATGAGTTCGTTGCAATGGTTCAAATGCCATTCTAGATAGACTTGTTTAGAATAAAATAACTGTGAAAAAGATTCACAGAGAGAGAGAGACTTGTTCAAATGCCATTCTAGATAGACTTGTTCATGATAAAATAACTCTGAAAAGGTTCAGAGAGAGAGAGAGAGAGAGAGAGAGAGAGAGAGGCTCCCTTTATTGGTCATATCATAATTTGAATGCTTGTTCTTGATGCATTGTCAATGTAATGGAGAGGATGGAAAATCCGCCCCCCAGTTCATTCTTGGGAATTCATTTTGGTTTGGCTCTTTCCAATAGTCCTCCGCAGTTGACACAAGTTCTGCCCATTTGAAGCTGTTCGCTTCACCAAATTACTATCTGGTATTTTCTGAAGGACAAAGGTATAGGCTGTTTTGAACCTGAAAAAATTGGAACAGACCTATTTGTAAATGAGCAATACATGAAGTCATTGCCTCGAAGGTAGTGCACATTAGAGGTTCTGCACCTAATATGAGCTTATAGAAAAATTAAAAGACATTAGAAGAAATTAAAATCCAGTACCAATTCACTTCCTACGCAAAAAGGAAGCAATCCTTTTCTGGTGGTCAAAGTATTGAGTTCTACTGTGAAAGAAGCCATAATTATTATGATTAATTAAAAACTTAGAATAGTTACCCTTGAATTCTCCACGTCAGTGGTTTCTGCACATGGTTTTCCATTGACCCAATGATAGCCGTCCCTCCCTTATGGTGGTCTCTGGATTCTTGTGTTTTCTTCGCTTCTCTTTCTTTTTATAGTGCTCATGGTTTGTACTGCCAGGGACTGAAGTTGAGGTGTGAGACTAGCTAAGCATGAAAACTGCTGATTGATTTAATATGAAGGCATTGTGATCTTGTGTTTTGTATTTACTGTATGGCAGAGATGAGTACAGAGAATTTGAGAAGTTGATACAAGAGGACTTGAAGGAGGTTGATAATCGTATGGAAGAAGAGGAGGTGAGGGTTTGTTGCACTTTTGCTTGAGATTGATGCTGACTTGCGCGTACTCATATATTCTTTTGCTGTTGCAATTGTGCTGCAGATTGATGCTGCTGAGACGATAGAAGAGGCTGAATCAGTGGAGCAAAGGTGAGTGCAGCAATAAAGTGCTATCATTCTAAACCTTCGTTTCTTTTTTGCAACTCAATTGTCTTTGCTGTTAGTGTTTACCTTCTTTGTTCTTCTTTTGTTTTTCAGGGCATATAGGGAGAAAGTGGAATTGTTGAAAAAGAAGAAAATGGAACTGAAGGCTTCCAGTGCTGCCAAGCGCAAAAGAGTTCCGGATGTCGTAAAAAAAGAGCCTAGTCACGATGAGTCATCAAGCGACAGCGACACGGATGAGAATTTTGCAGTGGATTGGAGAGCACAGCATTTGTGAATGCTCTTGGGGTCTCCTCCAGGATCCGTTCTTGACATTTTCGAAACCTGACAATGTAATGTGCCAAGTACTTGGTTTTGGATTCCTTGTGCTCTCTAATTGCAATATGGTATATGTATATGTACGATGGGGAGTAAGCGAATGTGAAAAGCTAAAATGTCTACGCAGCTCATATGGGTACCCCCCACAATGTCAGAAGAAACAATGCGTTGTGGCAAATATATTTTCCAGTCGACGACTAGACGTACTTATTCGCAGCTTAAATTTTCTTACAAGCAGAGGTGAATCATTAAATTTACCTAAAATGGGAATCACCAAATTGCTCATAGGCTAACAAACTCAAAAGTGTATGAAATTGATGTATATCGATCTTTTGGTTTCAAAAGTTGAAGATTGATCAATGTTGTCGAAACATGTTAATTTTCATGCATGCTTGAAACCATCATACAAAGAAGGTTTCGAAGGTTACCTTTGTAGCATGCTTTTTGAGCCCTCGTTCGTGCTACTCCAAGCTCCTTGTTACAAGCTCCATGCCACCAGCCTCCTCTCCAAGGTCCAAGCTCCTGATCTTCCTTGTATGTGTTCTCCTAGGTTCCAAGTTAGGAACCCTCTCAACTTTCGACACATTTGGAAGACTGAGGTGGTGGTGGATGAGGTAAGAGAGACGACAAGGGTGGTGGTGGTGTTTCAATTTTTCTTTCTGAGTTTTCTAAGCTCTCCTAGGCTTGCAAGCATTCATCTCTGCAGAAAGATGAACACAACACTCAATAGGAAGTTTCTTACAAACTCTTAAACTCTAACATGCAAGTTTTGTTTTCTAGAGAGCAGTCTTCCCCACAAACTCATTGTGAAATGAAATAGTCATGAGTGCATCCATAACGCCAAAATCAGCAATGCCCCCCTTTTGGGCCTTTTTCACACTTATGTCAACTCTATGACTTAGGTTGGATCAAGTGGGCTTAGGCCCAATGGGCCTTATGAGTCCCAAAACCCTTTTTGAGGCCTAACTGTCTCTTGTTGATGGAGGCGACTGAGTCCCAAAATGATTAATTTGCACTATTTCAACTAAAAGTTTACTTGCTTGACATTTAAGATTGCATGCAAGTACTCGAGTTGATCACGGTCAGTGAACTCAATCTCTATTGAGTAGTACACACTTGTCTAGTGCTCTCTCTCGAATGGTCTGAGACTAGCCATGCACCTCTCTATATGCAAACATAGTGTTTACTGATCTTTCTGAAATTTATCAACATCCACTTAATAGCTTTGTTGATCGGGAACAACTTTAGGGTAAACATATAAGAAGTCTAAATTTGTCGGGCAAACTTTCACCTACTTTTTTCTAAACTAATCAAATTTCCCCCGATTAAAGGGTTTGCCCGACAAAATATTGTGAAATTCGTCGAGCAAACATATTTTCCCACTATTGTTTTGGCCAAAAATTAAATTGGGCGAACATTTCTATGCAATCTTTGCTAGATAAATTGGTCATTTTGCTCGACGAAAAATCAAGTTTATAATATAAGTGTCACATTCTTTTAGCCCGACCAATATTTTAGGTTTGCCTGATGGATGAGTTCGTTGGGAAAAGGTCCTGAGATTTTATAACAGGCTCGAGAGCCTTCTTCTTTCTTCCTTACACCTTTTCTCTCATATCTCTCTCTGAAATCCGATCCCCCCCCCCCCAACAAAAAAAAAAAAATCTGCAAATTCCCATCCCCTCTTAGCTCTTTGTCACTCGTCATCTCTGCTCTCTCTCTTTCACACCCTCTCACTCTCAAGCTTTCATAGAAGTATGATATAAAAAAATTTCATATATATATATATATATATATATTTTTTTTTTGTTATAAACTTTATAATACGAAATGCTTTGATTTACATGTGAAATGCTGTGAATATTTGTGAATTTGTACGAGTGGGGTAAGTTGAGGTGGGTACGGGGAAGAGGATGGGGTGGGTTTAGGCAGGGGGAAGGGGTCAGGACTCGGGGAAGGGGACGGTGGGGTGGGGTGGATATAGGGGTGGGCTAGGCTCCGGTGGGTTGATTTGGGTGGGTTGGATGGTTGGGCTCAGTGGGTGTGCTGGTGTTGGGGGGGGGGGGTCTGTTGTTTTTTTTTTTTTTAATTTTTTTTGATATTATAATTTTTAGGATTTTCAAAATAATTAATAAATTTAAGAAATATAAGAAAATTTGGAAATATTCGAAATTTGTAGGAAATATTAGATACATTACAAATTTGAAGAAATATTATAAATTTTTTGAAAATATTATAAAATTTTGAAATATTGATTTTTTTTGAAATATTAGAAATTTGTAGGATTATTAGAAATTATTAATTTTTTAAGAATTTTAAGAATTTTAGGAATATTATAAATTCTTAGGAAATTTTTAAAACATAGAAGGTTTTAGAAAATATTAGATATATTAGAAATTTTCATATGAATTTTTAAAATATTAAAATTTTTGAAAAAATATTCGAACTTTGTAGGAATCTTAAGAATTATTTATTTTTTACTAATTTCATGAATTTTATGAAATTTTGTAAATTATTGTTTCTTATTGTGATTTTTTTCGTAGATGTCATCTCCATTGATCACCAGTGGCCCCCGCTTTGCTTCTGGTTTGAGTCATAATGCCTTGGTGTTGGCGGCAGATATGGCTGATTGTCCATTGGTGGGGACCAGCTGTACCTAGGCAGTTGAGCCCACTACATCAGCTTTATAAGTCTGGGAGTGCAATCTGTCCAGCACATTCATTGCTAGAAGCAACTTGGCATTGTGCTAGCCCCAGCCCCTGTTAATGCCGCATAGGTTGATACCGAATTGGTGTCCATGCCCTGGCCGAAGACAAAAAATTCCCTGTCAGGGTGTGAAGAAGGTGAAAGTGAGGGGGATCAACCTCACTTTTTAAAGACTTATGCATCGCATAAAAAGGACGAGTACCTTACCAACCTCTCCTAGCAACAATCGGACATGCCACTGGAGCAGCTGACATCTGATCCATATATGTCCCTACAATTGTTGATGGAAGGGGTTTTGGTGATGGGAAGCTGAGAGATCTGCGACCTAGGAGAGGGTCTGGTTGGGGACCTCAATCGGGGGATCTTATTCATCTAGCTCTTAGCCTGCAAGCATGACGTCTTCTACACTGCAGCAATTGGAGATAGAGTTAAAGGCCATGCGCCATCCCGAAAAAGTTGCACTTCAACAAGAAGAAGCTTAGGAAGAAGCTGAGCACCTTCAGGAGGATGACTGTCAACAGTACATGCGAGATATGGCACATGCAATGGCAGCCTCTGACATTTGCATCACCGATCCTCTGAGCAACCTTTAGTCGCCATCCTAGCAGCTACCCTAGGAGTGCTTAGTTTAGGATATTTTACATGCATTCTACGAATATTTCAGTTTTAATATAAACAAATATTTTTATATTTTGATTTCTTTTGAGATTAACAGAATTAAAACTATTTTTATATTTTGATTTCTTTGGAGATTAACAGAATTAAAACTAATTAATTTATTTGCATGTCGTTGGGCAATTCTTTTTTATTTCTGAAAAATACCACTTTGCTTGACGAAATAGTGAAAAATTTGTCCGCAATGGTTTAGGATACTATATTCTAGCTCAGCAAATGGGTTTTAGTGACGAAATTCTCTCGGCGGGCAAATTATATTTGTCAGGTCAAGTTGGTCAAGGCACTTGACATGATGAAATTGTCGTCAATGATTCCGTTGGGCAAAAGTATCTGCCCGGAAGAGTTTTAATATTCATCGGGCATATACATTTGTGCGACGACATTTGCCCGACGACGTTTCGTCAGACAAAACATTAGATAATTAAATCTTATTTGGCCCGATAAAATCATTTCGTCTGGAGAGGATTTTTTTTGTAGTGTTGAAGGGGAATGTACATAATATTTTCCATGCCAGCTTAACTTATTACCAAGTTCGATTTGCATGCTCAAATCCAGTATAAGCTGCTTAAAGTTTGATGCACTGATTGCCGGACTAGAATTCTCTCCCCTCATCTTTCCATCCCCTTCCATCCCCTTCTCTCACATTTTCTATTTTGTCGTTCTCTTTCTATAAAAAATTAATATAAGATGTTGACGTGACTTAACCGTGACCGTTCAAATAGGAGGGGAGGGGAGGGGAGGGAAAAACAAAGATGGGAGAGAATCATACTCCCTGATTGCCACCCATCTAAAAGTCAATATAGAAGATTGGCAAACATGGTATCCAGGGTCGGCCTTGAGATTTCAGGGGTCCCGTGCGAAAGTGAATTGGAGGCCTTAAAAAGTACTAAGAATTTAATTTTTTATTTAATTTTTTTGTTCAAAAAAATAACTTTAGTTTTCAATTGAGCTTCTATAAATTTTAATAGCACAAACAAATTTACCAAATCAACAGGTGGAAATGTGGCATATTATTTTTCCTTAACTATTTAGAGGGCCAGGGTTCAAATTTTCATGTTATTGTGTGGAGTTTTTATATTATTTTGTGGAAACTTATGCATTTAATAAAAATAAACTTAAAAAAATGATGGAGACGAGTTTCGAACCCATCTCCTTGGCCAATGTAAAGAAGCAATAATACCACTAGCATTCAGATTCAGGTTTGCAATATTCTACACATACTACTATATATACATTATGCATGCAAAATTGAACTATCGGTGACACCACTTGATTGGACATAATTGCCGGCTCTAATGGCATCCATTTGATTGGACAGTCTTGATTAATTACTTGTTACAAGAAAAATGGTTTGAAAAAAAAGTACGATGTATCATTGATTCAAAAATGGTTTATAGCTCAACTTTTTTTTAAATCCATGGTAGTATGGAACACTTCCATTTCAGAAAATATAGAAATTTTAAATCAAACATTCGAAATATAGAGTCAACTTGTGGTGGTGAAATTTCAAAATTTCAAACACCAAAAAGGAAAGTTTTTCAGAATTGGATGCCAATTAAGTTGATATACATGCATCTTAATTCCATGTTTACAATGAATACTATTGATACGGTTTAGGAAAACTACTATATATCTTTTTCTGATACTAACGTTACTCAAGTTACAACTAATTTTCACTGTGCATGCATTAACCTTTAGTTATATTTTTGAACTTATCTGCAAGCGTTTGATTAAATTTTTGAACTTAATTATCAACTCACAACCTTGAAAGTTAAGACCAGTTCATATCTAATGTTATCAAAGCTGGATTTTCTGTGTAATTTTTTTCCTTGCAATAAGTTGCATGATTTTTGCTTAAGCCAAATTAGGTAGAAGGAAAAACGAGTAGACTTCAAGGTTCAAACTCTTGACTGGAAATATAAAATGGTGATTATAATTAAAGGATAAATTAATAGTTAAATGCAACGTATCTTTTTACTGATATTGAACAATTTGTAAATAAATTGCCGGTCTTTCTCTGTTATTTATTTTCTTCTTTTGTAATATTATTTGAGTCTAGTGACAAAGACAAGTATAATTTTTTTTGTAATATCATTTGAGTTTAGTAACATTAAAGAACTCTATAATTTGTTTTTATTTTATTTTTTACATTATCTCTTTTTAATAAAGACGAGGTTTATTTTTTCTTAGCACCTATAGTCGATCGTGTGCCACATGAACGATTTTCAACAGAAATTGACTATTGATTAATGTGGTATACATGAAGGACCGTTGCTAGCATTTTCTCCATACAATTTTACACCTAACTAGATGGATGTATATGCAATTGACTTAAAAAGGAAAGTCTACCGATTCTCTAATAATACTATTATTTTCCATGCATGGTTGTAACTTATTAGCAAGTAGGGTTTTTGGTTGTTCAAATCCAGTATAAAGCTACTTAAAAAGTCAAAGCACTGATTGCCACCCGTATGAAAACAGCATAGAAGCTTGACATGTATATCTGCATAAATAGCCGGAATTACATTGTACTTGCAAATTTTGTTTGAATGATATAATTATTTTGGGGGCAAAGTCTTGGCCTCGAAGCCAAATCTCAGCAAAAGCTTACTCACCACTTTAATCTTTTGCTATTATTGTGCACATTACAACTACGATACGAGATTTCTTTCCTAACATGAACGATAAGCATTAACTCAAACCCTTAATAAAAAGGAGTTGATGTCTCCAAACGTTTTCATCAAGCCCAAAATTTCTTTTCTAATTAGTTCATGAGATGACAGAAGAATATCAAAGCCCTTTTGAAGCCTCTAACATCTCAGCCGCCTCAGATGGCACTCCACCACCAAAAAAAGATAGCGCTTCTCCTCTCCCTCCTCCTGATCTTCCTGACCAAAAAATGAATACGAAAATGAAAGAAAAAGTCATTATCGATGATTCTGATGATGAACAACCCAAGCCTAAACAGCCATCCCCGGCATCCGGATCATCATCATCACCAACACAAAATTCTCGTCCCTTGCTTGATCTGAAGCTTTCCAACAACGACGCTGGTCATGCGTCAGGGGCGTTGTCCTCGAAGGAACTCATTCTGTTCAACCCTCTGAACCAGGGTTCATCATCGAACCCCGAGGGATTAGGATTATTATCTCAACACAACGAGCCAAGAGACGAGAACCCGCGTGGTGATGATGGGAAAAAACCCCAAAGTAGGGTTTTCACATGCAACTTTTGCAAGAGAGATTTCTCTACTTCCCAAGCATTGGGAGGGCATCAAAACGCTCACAAACAAGAGCGTGCCTTGGCCAAAAGGCATCAAGGAGGACTAGGAATGGACCATAATTTCTTCGGACATTCCCATCCTTATTATAGCCCATATTCAAGTATCACTCAACACCCTCTCTATGGATCTTATGGTAGATCTCTTGGGATTAGGATGGACTCCATGATTCACAAGCCTTATCCATGGTCCTCCTCGACCTCCGGGTTCGGTACGCTTTGGCCATGGTGTTGGTTCCGGGGGTTGGTCATCATCAAGGCCAGGAGGCCTCATAAATAATTTTCAATCCTCCCTTGATAGGCTCAACCTTGATGGTCTTCATGCTAATACTACTTCCAGTGAAACATTAGGCCTTCCAGGAAGCATCAGTGCTTCAAGGTATGTTCAGGAAATTGGTTCTGCTCGCAATTTTGGTGGTTCAAACTTCGGAATCAACAGGCCAATCATTGGTGGTGATGTTCTCGGCCGTGAGCCTCCAAAACCCGATACAGATACTTCTGGACTTGATTTGTCTCTTAAGCTTTAAATTACTTGTTTGTTGTTGTTGAATTTTATTTATATATGTAGAACACAGTCACAATGTTTGGTTTAAGTTCGATTAGATGGGCTAGTTTGTTTGAGTACTGCTTTTAAATTTGTACTTCCATCCACAGATCATCTGTTCTTTAGAATATTGTTATGAAAAATTAAATAAGATTATTGTTTTTTTTTATATTTTGATTGTCTTCTGGGTTTTGTCTGGTTTCCAAATGACTTGATTAAATAATTTAATTCATCATCAGGCTTTTTAGATGTCCTTTGGGGTTTGATGTCTAAGTGTGATTTAGGAAGATGCAGGCATGATAAAACTTTTATCACATAAAGATTTGAATAGATCATGAGTCTGTGTGTCAGTGTGTACGTTTTGATTGCGCTCAAATAATCATGCGATTTATTGCAAAAATTATTATATTAGTATAAACCTCTCTTAAACTTATAATATTGATCTTTTAAATTTAATGTCCTGGAAATTATTTATTCAATTATTCATTTGATCATTAAAAAGTTTATGGCTTTCGAAACTGAGATCATGTGATTAAAGCTGATCATGTTTTTTTTATAAAGAGATTTTATTAATAAGCTTAAATAAATTTAGTCCTCATCAAAACGTTACAAATTAATAATGAAAAGTTTTATGAACTAAGCGGATTGGCTATTTTTTTCCCTTTTCTTCATCTTAGAAAAAAAGTACGATATTCATTAAATTGATAAAAAAAAAAACGTACAAAATGAGGATAGGGTGCTTATTGGGTTTCGATAAAAACCTTGCCAGAAATTTCAATACGAACGAAGGGAAGAAAAGTGTCCCACACATACAACTAAGGCTAGCTATTGTTTCTTTGACAAAATAATCAGCTAACTTATTTCCTTTTCCTAAGAAGGTTAATTAAGCCTAAACCCTAACAGATACGAGATTTTTTTTGAGTGTATGTGCCCATTGAAATGACGGTAAAGCAAACACATGGAGTTCGGAGCGAAGTCAACAAACAAACCTAAGATTGACATGCTTGTTTGTTGATTCCTTGAATCTTGCATACGAAATCATAAGTTCTTATGTGCATATATAGCTTTGTTGTGATTCTTTTATCATTGTTTTTCCATGAATTAATATAACAATATGGTAATTACTTAGTTGGGATTATCCTAAATTACAGAAAACAAAGTTATTATTCATCGTCATCTCCAACCTAAGAGGTCAATCAGGTCCAAACTGATATTCAAGAGGCTTTGACAATAATTTGAATTAGGCTCCTAGTCAACTATTACTTTGTCGAATCTAGACTCGATTCCATTTTTTTAGGGGTTTAACCAAAAAGTACTAATTAAGAACGGAAAGTTGTTTGTCACTTAATTTCACTAAGAAATAATTACTGGTAGTTTAAACTTAAAATGGAAAGTTGTTTCTCACTTAATTCATAGCAACTCTAACTGAGTTGTGGCCAGATATTTAATTTCCTACTGGGAAACGCACTGGCTCTTAATTAATATACAATTTTAAATCAATTTACGCTGACCCTATAGCATCATTCTTTCTTCTTTCTTCTTTTTCATAGAAGGATGATATTCATTTTGTCCTCATGATGAATAAGGAGGTTTTTCTTTTTTTTTTTTTTTTAAAGAAAAAAAAAGTTCACTATTATAAGGGGAGATGAGAGAGTACGAAACTATTACTATAATGTAGGGAGGAGAATTTTCGAACCTAAGACACATGGGTACAAATCCTACCCCCTATCAACTGTTATATCACACCATATGTTGTTGAATAAGGAGGTTGACAAAAGAAAAAAAAATGAAAAAAATAGTTGAACAAGGAGGAATTCCTACCAACGTGTATTTTATTATTGATTAAATATATGTTGGCAGGAATTCCTCCTAAATATCCATAAATGAATTTAACCAACTTTTTAATACATTTTTATTGATTAAATGTAAACAACTAACAATATTTAAAATGGTGAAAATATTCATTAGTGAATAAAAACTTGTAAAAAATAATATACCGTAAGGCGTAAGGACAAGTGCACATCTAAACTCAGAATACAAATGTAGGAAAGGAATCTGATTAGGCAGTGTCTAGGATTCTGTATATTACAACCCGTGAGTTCATAAACTTATTTCCCCTTCTTGCGCTGGTTTCTTCCCTTTTTTCTAGGATTGCCCTTTCATTACAGCAATTTTGTTTTTTTTTCTTCCCTTCTTTTCATTGAAAAGCAGTGTATTTAAAGCGTGAGGCGTGGGCAAGGCATCCAAAGGATAGTCCGGCCTAGGCGTGAGGCGAAGCCTCATGGGACCTAAATTTTTTAATATATACACTAAGCGTACACATATATTATATTAAAAAAAAAGATAATCACCTTGAGCACACACATATATTATAAATATATATACACACATATATAGACATATATATATATATATATATATAATAGAGGATGAAAAACACAATGAGTACACATATAACAATGCATGTAGACAGCACACACATCCATTATATATAAAAAATAAAAATCAGAAAAAAAAAAAAAAGCAAAGAGACGATAGTGCAAAGAAGAGGTATGAGGCAATTAAAACCCTACCCAAAATTTGGGTTTGGGAGTTAAAAAAAAAAAAAAAAAAAAAAAAAGCCCTTAGGCACGCCTTACGCCCGGCCACTCCCTCAAAACAGAGGTAGTAACCCTCAAGCTTAGCCTCAAAGGATGCCTAGGCGCACCTTGCAGCAAACCTTTTAAAACATTGATGAAAAGTCATACAACATTTGTAAAAGAAATTTAAAATGGGATAACGCACATACAAACGGAAGAGGCAACCCATGTATAGATGGAACTGGCTGAAGGATTATTTTGGAAAATGACATGTTCATTTAAGCAACATCATTAGCATGCAATTAACAAATTAAAGGCGGAATCATGGTAGCATGCACTTAAAAACAAAACATTACCCATGAATGTTCAAAGCCTAGTAAAATGGTGAACCAATAATCAACTCAAAACAAAGTGAGTTGAAATATATACCTTTGTAGATTCCTCTTTGTATTTAAACAAAGGCTAATCACCCAAAGAGAGGGCCTTCATTCCTTGCATCTTAGATCTATGGATTTGGATGGATAAAAAAGGTTTCTCCAAAGTTCCCAAAATTGAGAACCTCTAATGATTCATCACCAAGGCATAATGAAGAAGAAATGAGTGACCTTGGAGGAGTTTGATTGCTAGATGATCCCTCCAAGGTGGCCGAAATTTTAGAGAGAAAGGAGGGCTTGTGTTCTCATCCTTTCCCCAAAAACAACCCTTAATGAATTTTAGGCTATAAAGTCCTTTATATAGTCCCTTCAAATAAGTGACCTAATGGACCAAAAGCCCTATTCTTCTAACATGGCCGGCCTATAGGAAGAAGTATATATGGATTTTCCACCAGGATATAGCACTGAGAACTCTAGTGGAAAAGTGTGCAGACTTCGAAAGGCATTATATGGGTTGAAACAATCACAGAGAGCTTGGTTCGGGCGATTCACTCAAGCTATGAAGAAGTATGGATACCGACAAGGGAACTCAGATCATACTTTATTCATCAAGCGTAAGGATGGTAAAGTGACCTTACTTATTATATATGTTGATGATATGATTGTCACAGGGGATGATACAAAGGAGATTGAATGGTTACAGGGGTACTTGTCCTCCGAGTTTGAAATGAAAGATCTAGGAGGACTCAAATACTTACTAGGAATTGAAGTTGCTAGGTCTCAAGAAGGCATATGCTTATCACAACGTAAGTATGTGTTGGATTTGTTATCAGAAATTGGCATGCTAGCTTCTAAACAGATGGATACCCTGATTGTGCAGAATCATCATCTTGCAATATATCAGGATCAAGTCCCGAGAAATAAAGAAATGTATCAGAGGTTAGTTGGAAGATTGATTTACTTGTCACTTACACGACCTGATATTGCTTATGCGGTAAGTGTAGTAAGTCAATTCATGCATGCACCTAGTGAGGATCAAATGGCGGCAGTAATGTGGATTCTCAGCTACCTGAAAGGGGTTCTGGAAAAGGGCTAATGTACAAAAAGCATCGACACATAGATGTGAAAGGATATACCGATGTATATTGGGCTGGAAATATTACTGATAGGCGGTCTACATCAGGTTATTTTATGTTTGTTGTTGGTAATCTTGTGACCTGAAGGAGTAAGAAACAGAATGTGGCAACGAGATCATCAGCGAAGGCCAAATACAGAGGCATGGCGTATGGTATTTGTGAGCTTTTGTGGCTTCAAATTCTACTTACTGAAATAAGATTCAAGCCTAAGGAACCTATGTTGTTGTACTGTGATAACCAAGCAGCAAAAGAGATAGCTAACAACCCAGTACAACATGATAGGACCAAGCATGTTGAGGTAGATAGGCACTTCATAAAAGAAAAGTTGGATATTAAGCTAGTTGATATTCCGCTTATAAGGACGGAAGAGCAGTTAGCAGATATTCTAACACACGTAGTTTCCGCAGGAAGATTTCAGGACTCACTTTGCAAGTTGGGCTTAGGTGATATCTATGCACCAACTTGAGGGGGAGTGTTGGCGTGAGCCCTAGTTTTGATTAGGAAAATAATTGTTATTATTGTATTTCCTAGTTTGGTTAGGAGTCATTAATTATTATTTGTACTACAAGAGATGTAATTGATATATATATTACCTCCAAGAGGGAGAAGAATAGAGTGTGATATAGATTGAAACCCTAAAATTAATTTTATCTTTCACATGGTTTTCCATTGACCCAATGATAGCCGTCCCTCCCTTATTGTCTTTGGATTTTCTGTGTTTTGTCACGGGCTCAAGTTGAAGTGTGCACTAGTTAAGTATGAAAACTGCTGATTGATTTAATATGGCAAAGATGGGTACAGAGAATTTGAGAAGTTGATACAAGAGGACTTGAAGAGGTCAATAATTGTATGGAAGAAAAGAAGGTGAGGGTTTATTGCAATTGCGCTTGAGAT